CGTGCATGGCAGCACGGCGGCTCAGCTCTCCTGCGGGAGCGCGTCTCCGGCCATGGGGTGGCGCGGGGAGCGGCATGGGAGCTCCACCGAGCCCGGGCGGTGCTCGTGCGCGAGAAGAGAGAGCGAGAAGGAGGACGGAGGGGTGAGGTCCACGTAGTGGAGCACTCCGATGAGGAGGAGCTCACTCTGGTGAGCGATTCCCGAGAAAGGGAAGCTTCCCATGGCTTACCGAGGCGAGCACGGGGTGCGTGAGGTGGAGGCGGGCTGCTGGCGAGATGGAGCGGTCGACGACGAGCGGTGGTGGACGGGCGAGCCAACTCCGGCGAAGCACGGTGCGGGCGGTGGCGGAGGCGAGTGCACGCGTGCTCTGCGGCTGTGCTGCGGCTGGCAGAGTGGAGAGACAAGTGGGGAGCGCAGCGCGGTCGGGCAGGTGAAGGCGAGCGCATGGAGTGGCGGGGGCCACCGGGGTGCCACCCGTACACCATCGCCGGCATTCGGCGGCCACGCGGCGGCCGCGGCCTGACGCCGGTCGGGCGCGGCGCGCGCGCGGGCGGGCGAGCCAGCGCGGAGGCAGGCCAGGCCGGCTTCGGCCGTGGGCTGAGAAGCGAGGGCGCGGCCCATTAAGGTGAAAAATGTGGTTTTCCTGTTTATTTTTCTTCCCTAAATTCATTCAAATTAATTTTTAAACCTTTTCAAAGTAATTTCAAAAGTTGGACCCAAAATAAAAGTTGCTCAGAAAAATGTACTATACAACTTTGCCAAAAAGAGTATGGCCAAAATCCAATTAGATTTTGAACTATAGATTTAAAGTTAATTTAAATCAAAAACCCTATTTTAGAAGATTATTTTTAAAAGCAAAATTTTGGGGAAAATTTTAATACCAACCTTGCTCCGAAATGCATGTGAAACATTTCTTAGTCATTTGTACTCCCAAACAATCATGTTAAACATTATTACAAGCACAAACACGACCCAGGTTCATTTAAACAGTAATGCAACATACATGTTTCACGAGCATGTTTCATATGTTTCGAAGCATTGTTTCAGTTATCATTTAACATGATTATGCATGTATGATTATGATGCTTGATGATGTATTATGTTCATGATTTGCAGAATGTTAATGCATGCTTAACACCGAGGTGTTACACGTTTCACCAGTCCCTTTGATGGTCCGGTCGAAGCCCGTGTCGCCTGCTCTCACCACCGCCCGATGGACGTCATCATCATGCTGGGCCAGACGCTGGTTGCTGATGACACTACGAGCATCTCGATTTGGCCCAAGGCGTTCATGCACAGGTGGCTGGTGTGGAGCAGGTGCCGGGTTAGGCTGTGGCCTAGCTGCGGCCTCCTATTCTGTGCCCAACGGCTGGCGCCCGGAGGTTTCGGTGGACCGCCTGCTCCTATGGGTCGATAGGCTCGGGAAGGCCGCATAGAAGCATCACCGTCGCGGCGGTGATGTTCTGGCCGGCCCGAGCGAACTATGGTTGATCGTTCCCCCCGTCCATGATGTTGCGCTGGACTTGGCGGGCGCGACCTCGAGCGCCACTCGATGGGTTATGCGCACGGGGCGCATCGTGGTGCGCCGAGCAGCGCTAGGCACAGGTGGTGGCTAGCTCTGTCGCCTTTGTCGTAGCTCCTCGCCATGCTTCTGGGCACATGCAAGGGCATCCACGTGAGGGTCTAGAGGGGTGTGGGTCTGAAGAGACTCCACTACCATAGGTGGCTATCCTAGGGCATCTGCTATAGCGCACTCTGGACAGAGGGTGGCTAGGTGCCACAACATCGCCGATGCTGGAGTCGTCGCTCTCAACATCTTCATCCATGAGGTCGTGAAAAGAGGCGGGAGCGTAGCTCGCTATCCCCACGAATTCGGATGTGAGAGGGGGCGACGCCAGCATCTTTTGGAGCCCCCATGCGTACGCGTCCATGGGGGACATGAGGCCATAGGGGAACCGGTCGAACGACGGTTGTGGCAGGGACAACGGGGTCCCTCTGGAGAATTGGTGGAAAATAGTAAATAGCAAGTAAATAACAGTGTGTACATTACTCACAACGAGGTTTAAGCCCAGCGTAGGCTCGGAGCGAAGCGCAAGCACCTCGTCGTTGAGGTCGCCAGGAGTTCTAGAGCCGACGGAGGACACGCCTCCTCCTATGGGCGCCGGAACAAGTGCCTCCTCACAAAGGTGCAGCACGCCGAGCTGGTCGGCGATAAAGTTTAGGCTTCCGAAGAGGAAGGCCTAGGACGGCTCGAAGATGGGTGAACCCACATCCTAACAGGTGGGAGTGCGGGAAACTCCAGCGAGCCAAAGCGAGTCGTATTGCTTGAGCCCGCCATGGCGAAGATGGTGGAAAGATGGGCCATCCGATGACCAAAAGCGTGAACGTACGGTGTCCTCCCCATGGACAGCGCCAACTATTGGTGCAGAAAGTGACCAACACGTAAATATTTGTAGTTTTGCCGTACGTTGTGATTGGATATGGCCTAGCACTCAATGACACCGGGTTTATACTGGTTCAGGCAACGTGCTCTACATCTAGTTTGAGTCAGTCGATGACTTTATTCCTGAGCCCAGGTGCTCGAAGTTTGTTGTGGGATTACAAACAGAAGGGAGTAAGATGGGGGTGCAAGAGCTCCGGTTGGACTCTGGACCGAAGGGCCGAGAGTGACGGGAGCTCTTTCATGCGCTAAATATTCGAGCGTGTGCTCTGTGTAGCTTTAGAGTGTCTAAAGCTAGCAGAGGGTGAATCGATCATTGGTTGTTCGAATGGTTCGAGAGTCCTTGGAGTTGTCGTCGATGGATCGTCCTCTTTGGGAGAGAGTGCATCCCCTTTTATAGATGAAGGGGACGACCTTACAAGCGAGCGAGAGAGAATACGTCTACTAAGTCTTGTTGCCTATGCTGTCGGGTACAAGATAATTGTAGGCGCTCACAACATTGTTTATGCTAGACGCATGTGGGAGGTTTTACCGTGTTCACCACGTATGGCAAATGATGGCGATCACATCACTATTAATGCCCAGAGGCATGTGGGGGGATTTACCGTGTTCGCCTGGTATGGGAATTGATGGCGCCCATAACACTGTAGGGCAAAACGTCGGCGTCCACAACACTGCTTGGGTTCTGACATGACTGGAAGGTTGCAGGACACCCTTCTGACATGTCCTGTCGGTACTCTCCTGCAGGTGTATAGGGTACGATCCTTGGTATTGCGGTTGACTTGAGCGCCTTGCCTTACTTGCTCCGTCCGTTTCCTGGGTTCTCACCGAGCGGGCATCCCTGGTCGGTTGGTCCAGTCGGTTCCGACTGCGTCAGTCGGAGGAGAGCTGTAAGTAGAGGTTCGGTGCATCCCCGGTCGGAGAAGCGGGTCGAAGTCGAAAGCGAGCGCCGTTCCTCCTTAGCTAGGCCTTCTGGTTGGGGAGGCGGGCTGGAATCGGCAGCGGGCGCCGTTCCTCTTTGGCCAGGCCTTCCGGCCGGAGAGGCGGGCCAGAGTCGGAAGCGGACGTCGTTCCTCTTTGGCCAAGCCTTCCGGTCGGAGAGACGGGCCGGAGTCAAAAGCGAGCGTTGTTCCTTCTTGGGCAGGCCTTCCGGTCGGAGAGACGGGCCGAAGTCGGAAGCGCGCCGTTCCTCTTTGGTCAGGCCTTCCGGTCGGAGATTGGATCGCCCTTCTGGCCTGTCGTTAGGTATTTGGGCCGACCCAGGAGTTGTGCGTCGTTCTCAACATCGCTTGCTGAGCCGATCTTTTGCTGGGAAGCATGTCCATGAGGGACCCCGGGTTTATGAATCCAACAGTGCTACTACAAAGTTATAAACAACATGACGCATGTTATTTAATGTGCAATCAGAACTTGAATTTTATTTTTTATTTGAAATTTTCCATTACATGTCTCGATGGTTAAGCAAGACATTGCGGTTGAGGAAATGTTGTTTGCATTTGAGCAGTGGGTTGCATATGGAACATATTTTTCTGAGCTAAAACAAACTTTTTATGATTTTTTAGTAATAAAATATATTTTAGTATTTTTAAATACATGTTTATTCTAGAAAAACTATTTTTATAATTCTTGATAAAATTTAATTGATCTTTCCAGACTACCACCAAAGTTCGATTTACCTCTCTCGTAATTCATGACTAATGTGGCACCAAATAGAACAGATGACGCTGCGTCATGTCAGCTAAAATAGGTTAGGAAAATAAATCGAATAATGTTAAAAATTAGAGAAGTCTAACATTCTGTTTTTAATTTTTTTTTGAGGGGAACATTCTGTTTTTTAATTGTGTGTGTGTGTGGTGGGGGGGTGGGGTGGGGAGGGTAAATCGGATTTGCCCACTTTTTTTTATTAAGAAACGGACTTGCGCACTCGTTGAGGGAGGCTGGGCCTGATCGTTATATTGAGACGCAAAGGCTGGGGTGTGCTAGGATGGGCTTGAACTGAAATGAAACAGCCCAACACCGCCGAAGCCCGGCAATTTTTGCCAGCTAATTTGGCTCGTTATTACCTGCTGGGTCTCGATCGGTCGCCGCCTCCTCCGGACTCCGGTCCTCTCCGTGTGGCCGTGGGAAGGGCGGACGGAGGCGGACGCCTAACGGCTAACGCCTTCCCTCTTCCGCCGAGCGGCTGCTCCATCCTTTTCCTTCCTCGTCTCCGTCTTCATCGACCAACGGATTGCCGCCGACTCCGACCATCGTAGACTGTCCCCCGGTACGTTCCTCGATCCCCTTTTCTTGTATGCTTCTCGATTCAAAAAGTCTAGTCTAATATCCCCAATTTCCAAACCCTAATCCCCCGCATCCCTCCTCCTCGATCACGCCGTAGAACAGAGCAGGCAGATGGATAGAGGATAGGTATACGCGCAGATTACACAGCCTGCGTTATTTCCTTTTTATGCTTGAACGTTTGGTGTTCACCTCACCTTATCTCAGCTCTAACGAATCTTGTTTTCCTCCTCTCTAGGTCTTTCTTCAACGATTTCAGCGGATCGATCGATTCGATTCCATGGCCGGCTGGACCAATTCCACCGGCACCGGCAGCGGCGGCGGTCGAGGATCAGGAGGAAGAGGCTTCACGAACCACCTTTATGCTAATAATTCCATTGACATGATCCATGGAGGTACCGCCGCCGGCGGCGGCGGCGGCGGCGGAGGTAGCGGCAGGTTCATAGGAGGTCGGTCAAGGGGGAGGCCGCCCCAGCAGCCTCACTATCGCTACCGCCGTGTCGATGCCGTTCATCGCGACTCCCCGCCCGCCTCCCTGTCTGACCAGCAAGCGGCATCCTCCACTTCCAGCCGCCACGCGCGGCTAACTCATCCCATCTCAACCGCGGACAAGTCTTCCGCCTCTAGAACCGCGGCTCCTCCAAGCACCAGGGAGCCCGACGACAAGACCATCCGCAATGCCGCCAACTTCGAGTGCAACGTCTGCTTTGACATGGCCGCTGACCCTGTGGTCACCAAGTGCGGCCATCTCTTCTGCTGGGAGTGCCTCTATCAGTGGCTCCATGTCCACTCTCACCACCGTGAGTGCCCTGTCTGCAAGGGCCAGGTAGCCGATGATGCTATCATACCCATCTATGGGCGTGGTGGCTCCGCGGCCTCTGTGGACAATGCGCCACCAAGGCCCACTGGAGCCAGAGTAGAGAGCTCCAGGCAGCAGCAGCAGCAGACTTCCCCCCATCCCATGCTGTTTGATTTCCCAAGCATTATGAACTTGAGAATGAGAACTACCTCATTCAGAGAGGCTATCTTGAGCATCATGTCTCCCAGCATTGAAGACACGGAGATGGACAATTCTGATGCCATGACCTATTTTGACGACGGTGAATTCTACCCAGGGGTCAATGAATTTGACATGGAGGTGGATCGATATGGTGACCCGGATGATGAGGTTTATGAATATGACTACCATTTTGGAGGTGCTCCGTTGTTTGGGTCTGCTGGGACTGAGGCCAGCAATCCCAGCTCTTCACAGGAACATGCTGATATGATCAGTATTAGAGACAACACTGTTGGCACTACCACTGGTGGTTATCATCATCAAGAGTTTGGCTACTCTGGCGCGAGACCTAATAATAATAGGGGACGGCGTGGTTGTCGTAACCGCACAAGGCTGTCAGCAGATCACTTTTTGAGCACTGATGAAATGGTGATGGCGTTGCCGATGCCGGGTAGCAGTGGTTTTATCCATAATAATAATGGCGGCAGTTCTAATGTTAGTGCAGGCGCTGCCTTTCAGCCTAACCGTGGCTGGACTGAGAGAAGAGGAAGAAGCAACAGGAACTCGAATTCAGGTGGTGGAAGAGGAGGGATGCAGGATCGCAGGAGACAGAGGACACACTACATCTGATGGTGATGTTTGGACATGCTTGGCAATAGCATTGATGAGATAAACTTTTAATCTGTCATCTTCCTTTTTTTTCTTTGTTTCTGTCTTAATACTTTTGTACTCCGTGGCTATGCGCACCTTGTTAAACATGTTCTTCATCTTCTCTCCTTTTAACCCTGAAATGCTTTGCTTGGTTAATTTTACCACTTTTTAGTACCATCATCAATATCTGTTAATAAGGCATTGGACTAGCTGAAAAACTAAGGCCCTCTTGTTAAGTCGTTTAACTACGTGGTGCAGGCAAAAATTTGTTGCTGGCGGCAGTGCTGAAACTGTCTGAGCAGTTGCATCAAGAAGCCTGAGTATTCAATTGTTTGTCGTTCAATGTTTGGAATCAAAGAAACAGTTGATTTCTCTTGCACGCATGTCATAGTCAATTCTGAAGATTGGAGGAAATAAATTATAAAAATCGCAAACATTGGAATGTTTTGTCTTATTTCGGTGCCTGATTACCAGTTCTTGAATCGCCACACCAATACATTACAGAGGATCAGTTATAACGGCATACATTTGCCGATAGATGGATACTCTAGGCAACAAATAAGCGCAGCGCTGACAAAGCTGCCTGAAATTGCAGATGCAGTAGTAACTTGCAGCTCCTATCCTGTTCTAGACTAGTTGTCGTCTCCGTAGGCGAGGAAGCGGTAGCGCTCCTCGTACGGGCCGTCGAAGTAGAGGTCGGCCTCGAACCAGCGCGGGTACCTGACCAGATCCCCGGCCACGAAGTGCATGTAGTCGTCGCCGTGGACGGCGCCGGCGGGGATGACCTTCACCTCCCCGGACACGACGTACACGAGCTGGTCCACCTGCCAGTCCCACGGCATCCGGCACCGGCCGCCCGTGCGCCACGACGACCACGTCGCCATCACCCGCAGCGCCTCCACCCACGCCCGCGCCACCTCGCCGCGCTCCACGCGCACCTTGTACACGTCCTCCAGGGGACGCCCCAGCAGCGCGCCGCCGCCGCCTGCTGGCGCTGCTGCCTCCGCCGCTCGTATTCTTACTCCTCTTCGGCTACTGCTGCTAGGAACGCAAGGAGGAGGCCTGTGCGCCGCGGGGAGCACGAGACGGAACCCGCCGGTGCTGGCGGCGGCGGGCCTCATCGCGCGCGAGGCCCCTATCCTTTCCTCTTCTCCGGCTTGGGCTTTGGGTTGGGTTTTGGCTCTCTGAAGAAGCGAGGAGGGACGGGGCAAGCAGGTGCCTTATCCTGTATCCTCCGCACTGCTCTGTTTCTCGAGTGGCGAGGTCCGTCGTCACATGCTCCCAAAAAAAAAAAAATTGGCAGTTTGACACTGTAAACACACACTGCCACTTTGATTAGAGTGAGAAATGAGCGAATGTTATTTTGTGCGGTGGCAATGGGCAAATACGCTGCGTTGAAACTGGCTGTCTGCTATGCAACTATGGGCCTGTTTGGTTCCTTGACAGCCCGTCGCGCGACTGCGATAAGCGAATGTGGCTCGGACGATGCGTTCGCGATTTTCGAGCGTGTGGTTCATTTTTTCGCGTTTCAGTTTGCACATGGTCGTCCAACGCGGGTCGAATGCAGATCATTCGGCGGGATTTGTTCGCGTTCTCCGCTGAAAAGTCGACGCTGAACCAAACAGGCCCTATGCAAGGATTGACGGTTACATGAGATCTTACATGGGCAAACGCTACCCCTCCAACAAAATTACACTAGCACTTTGCATTCCGTTTCCAATCAAATGACTGCGATTTCAGTGAACTGTTTCATCAGATCACACCAGACCATGAATCAAAAAAAAAAAAAAGATCACACCAGACCAGACGAGTAGCTCTCTTGCACTTCAATCAGTGCATGGTCATGTCACCGCTCAGGAGTCAGGACTTAGAAGGCGGCGGCGCGCGTATGGGATTCCATTTCTTCAGTTTCAGACGACGAAACCACAAGAGAGCCATGTCATCAGTGGTAGTATTTACAGTCACTTCCACACACAGTTTTCAAGCGACCAAATTTATATGACAAAATAATAATATTTATCATACCAAGTAAGTATCAGACATTAGTTATATTTTACGATAACCTATTTGACCACCGTTTCTCTCTCATCACCACGGAAACCGGCGACTAGTATTTACAGTCACTTCCACACACACAGGCGCGATGGATGACGATGTCTGCTTTCGAGTAGCAGACGAGTACGATAACACCACCGTCTCATCACCACGGAAACCGGCGACTGTAACTCTGCCTACCTAGCCTTGCCAGATGCACCACCCAGTTCATAGCACAAGTATAGCCAACAGCAAAGAAACACAAAAGAAGAAAACAAAAGTGTGCAAAGCCTGAATCGCAAGATGATCCTTCAATGGGCGTATCACGAGGATCAAATCATCTGTTCGTCCTGTTACACGTGGTTTTCAGGATGCCGATGATGATGCTGAGGTTATCCGTCCAGAAGCACGCATTTCGTCCAGAGTGGTCGCTAGCCAGTCCAACCCTTCATACAGGCCATCACCTTTCAGAGCGCAGGTGCCCTGGATGTGCCAGATGCGGTTCGTCAGGTCATACAGCCCAAGACCCTCACACACTTCCATCGGAGTCATTGCTCCCCTCTGAATTAGCATGCGTGTTACCAAAGTGAACATTAGTATATGGTAAAAAAAAGGAGACAGGCCATTTATCTGACACAAAAGTACAACTAAATTTGAGCTTCGTTAGTGCAGTACACACATCTAATGCTACCACACAATATGGCAACAATACAGAACCCATAACGCCTGCAGTATTACGTTTATGGAAAACCAACATATTGACATATTCTGTCAACAATGGAACAGAACTGCTTACACAACTAAAAGATGGAGCAGCTATTTCCAGTACAGGCATTGGGATGGCCACAGACTTAGGCAAGAAACGATAATTTGCAAGTTTATATTTATGAACGAAACATATTCGTTAACGTTATATATGAACAAAAAATAATCAGACTCAACCAGACAGAATCAAAAGCCAGAACTGAAAAAACAAGAAGTCCAGGAATCACAAATCACCTACTAAAATGAATCACAATATAAAATAAATGCTCCAGAGTAAACGTAGCCGAACATACCATGTCTTGCTTGTTAGCAAACACCAATAGCACACTGTTAAGCATAAAAGGGTCATTGATTATAGCCTGAAATAGATTTAAGATATCAAAACAAGTTAGAGTAGATATTACATAGAATCTCAGTGCACAAAGGCACCCATTAGAAAAACGAAATAAAAACCTGAAATTCTGCCCTGGCTCTCCCGATTCTCTCTCTATCCAGTGAATCAACCACGTAAATCTGCAAGTTCAGCAAATAATGGGGAGCATCTTACATTTCAAGAAAGCCGTGTTTACTACAAATAAATGTAAATAAATCAAGGTTGAGCTATAGCATAATAAATGAAGATCTTGAACTAGGATATATATGTATATCAACAGCTACGAAGAATGAGCTATTTCCTATAATAATATTATGTTTTCTGGTATCTATATGTGCTAAGTTATAAAGAGTAGTAAAAGATGCCCAATAAAAATGGGCTCAAGCATCCACAAAGAAATCAGTGGACCTATATGCTTGGGAGTGGTATTGGTCTACTGGAGTTGCACTCTGAGCTACGAATACTAAATCCAAATGGGCAGATTTAGTGGAAGAAACATTACAGCACAAACACTTCTATGTAGAATTTCTACTTTGAATAGAATTTATGCTGCTTCACTTGTGAAACAGAAATGAGAGTAAATAATGACCAAAGCATCGGTATTGTTGAAGTAGTGCCTCCACAAGGGCCTGAGCTTCTCCTGGCCACCAACATCCCACACAGTGAACACTACATTCTTGTACTGAACCTTCTCAACATTGAAACCTACAACATGATAAAGTGCATGCTATCACTAAACATACGAATGAACGAATCAATTAGCATGGCAGGTGTAATTAGCAATGGTTGAAACCAAAAGTTATGAAATGCACAAGCAGACAGCTGGTACAATTGTACCTATGGTAGGGACAGTGGAGAGAACTTCACCAATGTGAAGCTTATAGAGTATGGTGGTTTTCCCAGCTGCATCCAACCCAAGCATCACCACCTGAGGACAAAAAACACGAGAGGCCATTCTATTAGAAGCATGTTCAGCTTAAAAAGGATACTGGTACTAATCTCCGATGATACAAAATATTAGAGGCATGTCGTTAAGAAGACATGATACATGGTTGAAACACAGTATGCCCTGCACTTGAATTGGCATGGTGCTGTACACACTATGGAAACACCTAATCTGGAAAACGAGTGAAGTAATAATCCATCAATATATCATTTGACCCAGGTACAATTTGATCTGGCGTATGAAAGATCCAGCACACTGTGGCTGGCAACACATCATTCTACTCTACTAGGATGACTGGCAGCTCGACGCAGAGATTTATTGCCGGTATAAATGATCCACTACTAATAGAGTGCAAGAAATCAAATCTATAACCGTCAGGAACAAGAAAGATTAGCACAGGACACTATAGCTGTGTATGGCTGGCCAGCATCATGACTCATTATTTTCTTGCCCTTAGATGTTAGTGATTGGTAGCCAAAACAGTGCTGGCAGATTGTTGGCGGAACAAATGATTCACTACCTATTCAGTAGTAACTGAAGTCAATGCTAGGAGACATGGAGATAACAGTGCGACAAGACCACCGCCGCCCTTGTGAACGGATCGGTGTATCGAGGAGCCCGAATCATTGCAGTCTCCTGTCGAGATGGGAAGGGAGCGAGGGGAAACAGGAGGGGAGGAGATAGCGTACCCGCATCTCCTTGTTGCCGAAGAAGGCATCGAAGAGCTTTCGGAAGGCCTGCCCCATCTCCTGACCTTGCCCCTCGATCCAACCGGATCTGGGAGGCCGCGGCGGGGAGGGAGGTGACGAGACAGGCGGCGCAGGCGGAGGCGGGGAGGGCGGCACCTTGGTGGAAGGTTCTAGAAGGTCGGAGGGCGGGCGGGCTAGGTTTTGGAGGAAGGATCGGCGGCAAGACGACGAGAGGTAGGGTGCGGTGCGGCCGTGGAAGCCAGGAGGAGAGGGTGGACTCGCACTGGCCTCCCCTGCCCAGACCCCAGAGTGGCGTCGTCCACTGGATGCGATGCGATGCGATGCCGGATCGATCGATCTCGGCCGTCCAATCTGTGTTTGCCAAACTTTCGCGCAAATTCTTGCCAACTTTAAAGTTGGTTGGTCCTGCATGATTGATGGACGAACATTGCAATTGTAAATGGAATAATTTTTGCGTAGGGGGAGGTGATTTTTATTAAATGAGTGAATACACTCTATTTTCCTGAACTATTCCCTTGTTGTCATATGGATCCATGCTTTTTGAAAGTGATCATCTAAGTCCTTGAACTTCCTAAGTGGTTCATTCCATAGTTGTCTGTATGCCAATCCATACTCCAGAATCTTAGGATATTATGATCCTGTTAATTCAAAACAATATTGAATTCTGGATCCCAGATTTTGTAGTATCCTGATTCTATATAAGGTTCTATATGATTTTGTATAAAATTTCATACTATTCTGATACTATAACCCTATACAATAATTAATATACATGATTTCTTAAATGAATCATCGGTCAAAAAAACTATTGTTTAAAGTCAAACGGTGTTAAAAAATAATGCCAAGAATTGTGCTTAAATGTAAAAAAAGTCAAATAAATAAATCAAAATCAATATCATAGGCTTAAATATTTAAAACATATTGCACATCTTGTGATTTGTTCAAGTAGTTGCTACTTTCTAACTTTGCTACTAGACTTGGATGGGAGCGCTAGTGCTTTGGCTTGCTTGCTAGTTAGGCTTAGTGCTTTGGCAGGGCCATTTTGTCTAACTAATTTGGCTAGTGTTGTGCCTTGAGAAAATTTTAATAGGCTATTTACCCTCCCCCCCCCCTTCCTCCCTTCTAGTCATCAACCGGTCCTTTCAAGATGTGTCCTGATGTTGGTGCAGTTGATCCCCGACTACTCACACCACGAGTGCAAGAAACACAGCCTCTACAAGATGCTCCAATGTACGAGCAACCATAGCAAGGTCGTTGCGGCTCTCACGGAACCCTTGTCCATTGGCTACATCGTCGAGGTGCTCACCATGTCCGCAAGCGGGTCTAGCTGAGCCTCATTTGAACACGTGACAGCTTCCAGACCTAGTTCCTACAGTTGGATGACACTCATCCTTGTTCAAGGACCATGATGTGCATTTTGAGAGTTTAGATACCTGGATGACACTTTCAATCAAGTTTAAGGTCCGTCGATGTATTTTACCGGCAATTTAGCACATGTTATAGAGGTTTGAACCTCTCATGAGGTAATTAGTAAGTTTAAAAACTCCAATAAGTATTTTAGGAGTTGATGAATTTAGGTGACACTCGCTGCCAAGTTTAAGATCCACTAGTATATTTTACTTGCTTATAATTATAAATTGCAGTTGCACGCTAACAAACCTAGGCAGATCATCGTCCTCACCAACCTTAGACCGATCACGGATCACATGCACGCTTTTGCTTTCCTGCTAACCTAAGCGGTCCTATTTGTGGATGTAAATTGCAGTTGCACGCAAACACAACGGCCCTGCTTGATTTTTTCTGCCGCGGTAGCACTACTGCTGCCAATAAGATCACAAACACAGCGTGTCAGCACAGCTGCCCTAAGCAGTGTCATGTCACTTGTACAAATGACGACGACATTACTGCTAGCGTGGTTAAAATAACTATGAAATTTACCCTCTCTGTTTACCTCGAAACAACTGCTCCCTCAGTTCCAAGTTATAAATCGCTTTGACTTTTTTTTCATCCATTTTGCTATATATATATATAGAGATATATTATTATATCTAAATGCATAGCAAAATTGATGTATAAAAAAAAAATTAAAACAACTTATAATTTGGAACGGAGGGAGTACAAAACATCTTTCTATTTCTACAAATTTGAAAAAAAAAATAGAAAGCATAAAGCCGAAATCAAAGATCTAAAATGCTGTGAAATTAGCGGCTTCTGAACAAGCAGCTTCTGATTTTATCCATTTGATTGGGGGTCTATTTTTAGTGACAAAAGCACTTTACAGAAGGTGAACTAAACGCAATCTAATAACAGGTCGATCTGAAAGAAATGTTAACTGGGGAGCATCCATGTTTCTGCTAGTGTAGGTGTGTAGTGAAGTGTATCCTACTCGACCATATCATTCACTCGCTGTCTCGTTCACTGTATAGTAAGCGGATCAAGTTGCACTCGATCGATGTGCCCAATTAATCATTCGTCGCTGCTGCTGGAACGCATCGGCTCCACGGCGGCGGCGACATGCTTGGGCGTGTACCGGGCGGCGAGCACCATGTAGAGCAGCAGGTTGGCGACGCTGATGATGGTCCAGAGCCAGAAGTAGTAGTCCAGGTGGCCGGCGTTGAGGTCCGGCGCCAGCCATCCGGGCCGCTTCGTCACGGCCGCCACCAGCGTCACCACCAGCGAGTTGACGTAGAACCCCAGCGACAACGCCAGGAAGGAGAAGGCCGAGCAGATGCTGCGCATCGCGGCGGGGGCCTCCCCGTAGAAGAACTCCAGCTGCGCGATCCCGCAGAAGACGTCGGAGCCCGCCACCAGCACGAACTGCGGCACCTGCCACGCGATGGTCATCGGCCCACTCCCGCCGTGGATGGCGCGGAGCCGGCGCCTCTCGACGAGCGCGGCCGTCCCCAGGGCCAGCACAACCAGGAACCGCCCCACGCCCATGCGCTGCAGCTGCGTCAGCCCGCCGGGGCGCCCCGTCAGCCGCCGCGCCGCCGGGATGATGGCGGCGTCGTGCAGCACCACCCAGAGGAGCATGAACACCACCTCCACGGACACCAGCGACGCCACGGGCACCTTGAACCGCCCGCCCAGCCGCGTGCCCATGGCCATCCCCTGCTGGATGAAGGTGGTGGTCATCTGCCCCAGCGACGCCGCGTACAGCACGCACGTCACCCAGATGGGCAGCATCCGCACCAGGATCTTGACGCCCTCCACCTCGCTCACCGTGCACAGAGACCATTCGCCCTCCTGCGCCTTGTCGACGATCGCGGCAGCCTTGTCAAGGCACCGCAGGCCCTTGGTGCGCGCCAGCCGCTGCTGCTCGCCGTCGTCGTTGGCGTCGTCTTCGTGCAGCAGCTCCGCAGCGCCGTCGTCCCGTTCCATCCTGACGTTGCGCTTCCTGAAGGCGGCGACGAGCACCCTGATGATGTCCTTGAGCGGGCTGCCGGTCGGCATCTGCACCCTGTAGCAGGGCGTGCCCGCCACGAAGGCGAGCGCGGCCACGAAGAAGCAGGCCGTGCCGATGCCGAAGCCGAGCGCCCACGACACGTTCTGCTCCAGCCACGACACGAGCGTGCCGGCGACGAAGATGCCGAGGTTGATGGCGGCGAAGAACCAGCTGAAGAAGGCCTGCTTCCGCTCCGGCCGGTCGGCGTCGTCGTCGTACTGCTCGGCCCCGAAGGGGAGCAGCGCGGACTTGATCCCTCCCGTGCCGACGGAGGTGAGGTAGAGCGCGGCGAAGAAGACGGAGAACTGCGTCTTGGTCGCCGGCGCGCACGACGCCCCCATCTGGCACGCCGTGGCGGGCCGCAGCGACGGGATCGCGGCGGACACGGTGAGGAGCACCAGGCCCTGCCATTCGGCAACAATTGGTTGCATTCAGACATTCAGTATTTCAGTGAGTGATCTGAGTGTCAGGCAGGCATTCCTGAATCGCACAATAAATTACTTGTACCCACTCACCACGAGGTAGAAGACGATGGAGGCGAGGATGGTCCTGTACTTGCCCCAGTAGCTGTCGGCGAGGAAGGCGCCGATGACGGGGACGATGAAGGTGGTGCCGTTCCAGGTGTCGACGTGGGCGGCGTTGAAGGCGGTGCTCCCGTGCAGCACCGTGGCCAGGTACACCACCAGGTTGAGCGCCACGCCCGAGAAGGCGATGCTCTCCAGCAGCTCGAAGACTGGATGGAAAAAGTCACCAACAGCTCCCCTCCGGAATCGAAGGCCATGGATCGGGATCAGATTCCTTACCTAGGACGATTACCGGGCCCTTCCAGGTGAAGCGCTTCCTCGCCGCCGCCGACGCTTCGCCGCCGGATTCCATGGACGAAACCGCCTGCTGCCGCTGCTGGCGGCGGCGGCCATTGGAGCCGCCAGGGGGAGGGGGAGACATGCCGCTCTGCGGAGACAGCGCACGCACGCGCAAGACGAGAAGGGTAGGAAGGAGAAAACCAGGCGGAAAAAAAGGACGTCGAAATTGGAAGCTTGACAGCCAGCGGCGGCGGCGGCGGTTGCAACATTTGGCTAGGATCTCTCTTCTACTCGCTCACTCTCGTCTCGTCTCATCTGCCAACCACCATCCAACTAGGAGCGCAGATGGATCCAACCAGGCGTGCATGCAAGGACTGGTGGCAATAATCAAGGCAACACATTAACCAACCAAGGCAACTAGTAACTGGGCCCTGTTTAGATCCCATCAAAATTCTAAGTTTTTTCACTCTATGTATCATATTAATTTTTGGACATATGTATGGAGCATTAAATGTAGGTAAAAAAATAATTAATTGCACAGTTTAGTTGTAAATTACGAGACGAATCTTTTGAGCCTAGTTAGTCCATAATCGGACAAAGTTTGTCAAATACAAATGAAACGTGCTACAGTATTCGGATTACAAAAATTTGCAATCTAAACAAGACGCTGGATTGATGGGTGGCCATCAAATTGCCAGCCAGAGTAGAACAGCGAGGAGGAGGAGAATGGCATGAGTAGTCAGTCAGCCAGTACCTGCGTCTCCGGAAGCAGGGGGCCGCCGACCCCGGTCTCGGCCGCACCCACACGGCTCCTCCTGCCGCCACCGCTACCGCCGCCCATGGGACTGAAATGGTAGTTGTGGGAGCCCAGCAACCCCAGCACCAGCACACGAAATCTTGGAGACGCGTCGACGTCAGGGTCAGCTTCCCTCTCCTCGGCTATCCTATCCCTTATAGGTGACTCAAGGGGGGGGGGGGGGCAACATAGCTAGCTCATCAGCTGAAAGAAAGGCAAAAAAGAAGAATATGAACAAGTGACCATCCATCTATCGACCGGTCCATCTCCTCCTTTGCAAGCAGAGTACGTGGCTAGGCACAGCGCAACCAACGGCAGTTGAAGCTCGTGCCCCTCTCATCTGACAGCAGAAAGTCCGCGCTTCCTTGGTTCCTCTGAATATCACAGGCAGGCAGGTACAGAATACATTCAAGTTGAGCACTAGGCCTTGTTTAGTTTGCAACTTTTTTTGTACCGGATGAATAGTCTACATTCATTTGGCAAGTTGGACCAATTAGCTCAAAGTTCAAAATATCACACTACTAATCTCGTGATTTCCAACTAAACTGTGTAATTAAAGACTGCCATTTAATCTCTCCCGTAAAAATTGATGTGATGGAGAGAGCTCGCAAAATAAAGACTGCCATCTCTCCCGTCAGCAGCTCGCAAAATAAAACCAGTCAGCAGCAAAGTACAGTAGGCTCGCTCCATCATCTGAAAAACCGGCTGGGCTCGCAAAGCCCAGGCCGAACCGAACGACCTCACGTTGTCAGTAACATGTCCAGTTGCTGCTGCTTAGCGCAACCACCTTGTCACTTCCGGCGATAACAACTGCTGCGTGGCCTACTACTCCTACTCGATCCCTTCTCGAAAGGGATTAAAGAAAGATCCGAGCCTTCAGTTGCTTAAACAAATCCGAGTGTGGGGTATCAATGCCTGCAAATGCTGGTGACAGGCAGGCACATCATGTGACTTCATTGAACTCGTGAATACACTACACTGCACACCGTTAGTTTATCTACAAACACTGTAAGGAGGCAAACTTTACATAGTGAAAATTTCCTACTATAGTATTTTGTTTGAATTTATAAATTATTATTCAAACATTAACTAATTAGGCTCAAAAGATTCGTCTCACAAAATTAAAGCAAACTGTGCAATTAGTTTTTGATTTCGTCTATATTTAGAACTCCATGCATGTACCGTAAGTTTAATGTGATGGGAAATCTTCTTTTTACATAGTGCACTTTTCAGGAGTTTGGAGGAATTAAACAAGGGCTTACAACTAGCCATCCACTGTGCCATGGCGGCCACCTAAGTCAATGCTGACCACGTACGCGTACTTTTTCAGCCAACAAATAATATTTTTCTCTCATAATAAATCAACCAACATTACTTTCAGCCAGAGCTTATCAGCCAAGCGTTAGTTGTGTGCAGCTCCTCATGTCAACTGGAATCAATCGCCCAACTTGCCTCGGGCGCGCATGGTGTTTGCGCAAAACAAAGGCTCAACCAGATGAAAGCCTGCAACTGTGCACAAAAACAATGCCTAAGCTCTTGCGTAGAAGATGAAGCAAATGCATGAAAAAATCCACTTGTCCAAAAAAGTTCAGCTCATTGAACTAATGAAAAGATAGATGAATGAAAGGATCAAGATGTCCAGGAGGAGAGGTGAATTGGGCTAATTCTAAATTTCTTTGCAATAATTCAATCCTATGATTAGCCCCAATTAACCCATTGTGCCTAGAAAGTGTTTCCAGTTGTTCTACCGAACAAAAGACTTGCAACCTAACTTCCAATCCCACTCTATCATGTCAATTCTATGAATGTAAAAACAAGAATTGAATTGCTCAAAGTAAAGAGAGGAGAGAAAACGCGACGATGTTTTGCCGAGGTATCGGAGAGTCACCACTCCCCACTAGTCCTCGTTGGAGCACCCGCGCAAGGATCAAGTGCTCTCTACGGGTTGATTTTTCGATACTCCGTCGCGGTGAATCACCCACAACCGCTCACAACTTGAGTTGGGTCATCCACAGGCTCTCCGGATGATCACCAAGCACCCAATCACCACCAAGTCATCTAGGTGATGGCGATCACCAAGAGTAACAAGCATGAACTCTCACTTGACCGTGACAAGCCTAATGAGAAGGGTGGATGCACACTTTGCTACTCTTTATCTCACTAATGAGGGCTCTCTTTGGGATTCTTAAATCTCAATCACCTCACTAGAACATTGCTCTTCTTGGCACTCTCTAAGCTATTTCTCAGATGTTGGAATGAGCAAAAGTACCCCCACATATGAGTGGAGGGTGTATTTATAACACCGGCTGAAAAACAAACCGTTATGTGCCTCTGCGGGGTGACCGGACACTCCGGTCATGTTGACCGGACGCTCCGGTCAGTACACCCCGAACTCCAGTGTTTACAGTGTGACCGGATGCTAGGCAGCGTCCGATCAGCACTAACCGGACGCGTCCGGTCGCAATTTCCCCTCTCTGGAACCTTACTGGAGTCGACCGGACGCAGGCTCTCAGCGTCCGGTCACTTCACCTCTCAGCATCCGGTCAAACTAGACGCAATCACCTTGGTCAAATGAACTGACCGGACCCTGAGCCAGCGTCCGGTCACACCGGAGCCAGCGTCCGGTCAGTATTTGATCCTCCATTCACTTCCAACTCTCGATCATACGTGAATGAAGTTTGCTCCATTAGATCTAAGAGCTATTTTTGGAGCTACCTAGTGCTAGTTTAAACAAGTCCATACCCCCCTTAATAGTACGGCCAAAGGAAAAACAGAGTCCTAAACTACTCTAAGTGTCTCTCCAACTCCAATCGACACTTAGAACTAGTCAATCCTTAACCTTATCGTCTATCCTTTGAAAACCGAAACGATTTTCATCGTAGGGGCATGACCACCTTGATTGCCCAATCGATCTCTATTACCATGACCTAACTTAATTGCCTCTGCAAAACACACGTTAGTCATAGTAATCTTGTATTGTCATTAATCACCGAAACCCAACTAGGAGCCTAGATGCTTTCAATCTCCTCATTTTTGATGATTGATGACAATACCACCTCGAGTATGTAAAAGAGTTGGGGTTTTTAACATGCTTGGATCATGTAAGCTTTTGGCAATAAGAACAAAGGTGTTAGTCAAGCTTATATGACCCAAGCTAACATGATGTACTCAAAAGATATGAAATAAGCATGAGTACAAGTAATAAATCTCATTTGTATCGAGTAAAATGCGGAAGCAAAGGCAAATAAGCATAACACAAGTGATATGACATACAAATAATTCAAACTAGAGAGTACGCAAGTCATATATCACGATCACGTAGATATCACTATCACATAAATATAGTTTTAATGCATAAGAGTAAACACACGACGAATGCATAATAGTGTATCACACATAAAAACTCCAAATGTAATATATAAGCTAATATAATAACTAAGCTTCCCCTAAATATGTCGCTCCTTCTAAGGCTAACATACTCGAACCCTCTCCCCCTTTGGCGTCAAACACCAAAACCTAAGGATCGATCGGTGGGGCTGCAGCGGATGAGCCGAGCGCTGAGGTACGAGGAGTGAGCTGGAATTGGGTGACATCATCATCTGACCCTGAGCTCTGAGCAGTCTGACCCTCTATAGTTAGAAGTGATGATGTAGCAGTCTGGGTCGGATCAAGGACTAGAGCTGCCTGTGACTCTGAATGTATGACTATAGTAGGCTCTGATGATGCCACTGAGGAAGGGAGCGTCTCTATCGTGCCTGTCACTAGAGCAATGGTGGTAAGTACAGGGACATGTAGGTCTAGCGGTGTAGGGTGCCCTATCAACTCACTGAAGGATGCACCAAGGCTCCTGGACACTGAGGTCTCTAGCACTAGCAGCGAGGACGTCTCTGCCATTGTGAAGCCCGTACGAAATGGTGTAAATTACGGGGCTGGCACTGACGTAGCAAACCATTGGGACACCTGCTCTGTAGGTGAAGCAAACTATGCTGGTGGCTGTCCCTGACTCTGAAGCCCACTAGGTTGTAACGCTGGAGTCATGGAAGTGGTGGTAGGCTGACCAAGCTAGGGCAGAGGCTGTGGCGGTGGATCCCCAATAGCTGTCACTACATGCTGCATAAATCCAAGAAGCTGCTGCTGCATAAGGATCTGCTGCTGCTACTGTAGAGCCTGAGTCTGCTGCTGAATAGCCAGCTGCTGCTGCTGGATCACCTGCTGCTGCTGCTGGAACTCATCCTACCGAGTCTGGAACTATGCAAATGTAGCAGCTGTCTCCTGAGCCTGGCGTGCCTGGTCCTTCCTCATTCGCTCAAGTATAGCAAGGAGAGCGGGGTCTGTCTGCGGGGCAGGTGGCGCTGAACTAGAGCTACTGGCCTCATGGTCATGTCGTTGAGGAGGCATCCAAGGGACGGGCTGGTAGTCATCATCAGAACTATCACTGGGGTCGCTCACGACCACTCCCTCCTGTTGAGCAAGCTCCTCCTCCTCAGTAGTTGCTATACCCCTGATAATATCATCCTGCTGGGCTACAGTCTCTGGCACCTCAGGACATCGGCACGGCTGACTAGGTGCTATATGTGTACTATGTCTGATCATCTGAGTTATGTTATAGGCAGGAAACTCTGTGGTGGCACCACTGTACTCAGCAAGCATCTCTGGCGGCCTCACTGTGACTGCTCTGTGGATAAGGAATGTGATCCAGTGAGCATAGGGTAACTGCCTATGACCTCTAAAGCCCTCAGCTATAGTGTCCTCCATCTCTGACAGAATAAGATCCCAGATATCAAAAACTGTCTGCTGCATCAGAGAGTTGATCAGCCACAACTGTATACGAGTCAAGCCCTCACGATACCCCATCCTCGGTAGCAATGTCCTCCTCATGATAGCCTCAAGTACACGAGCAGTAGGAGTAAGATCACTGGGGTTCCTGCGCGACCCTTCGCCGAAGGGCTCGGTGAAGCAGTGGCGAACCAAGTCAGTAGGGGGCACATTACCGCCATGAGGGCGTCTGGGAGGCACTATCTGTCCATAGCAAACCTCATGAAGTC